GGCAATACCATAGTACTTTGCTATAAGTACCAAAGTATTTACATTGTAAGGTGCTTCTAAGGTACTTAAAGGGATAGTTCACCTTCAGTTGCTGGTCCCCAATGACTTCCATAGTGTTGAGTCAATGGGGACCAGCAACTGAAGGTGAACTATCCCTTTAAACACACTATTAACAAGGTACCATGTCCAAAAACAAGGTAGCAGTATTATTGGTTTTGGACTGCATACAGTTACATATTTCTAGATTCATATCTCTACATTTAAAATAAAGCCTGTGAACAAGTTTAAACACAGCTGCACGTTTTGACAGACTTTAAACAGATGAATACCTTTAAACTGCTAAATTAGATATATATACGTGTATAACCCGTTTAACTAACTCACCATTTAGTCAGTTTAATCGTATTATATTCTGTTGAATCGCTTGCAAGCTCCGCCTCCTTTACTTAAACCCGCCCACTCATCACGTCAATCACAGCAATCGGGAAAAACGATTGGTGGCGCCCCTGTAACCAAGCACGCTGATAATGGAAGCCTTGTTTCTTAGCAACGAGGCGTCCAAAGACAAGAAAACTTATTTTTGAAGTTGCTTTGCTTTTTATTTTTATTGATGTAATCGGAATAACAAGAGTTTAATATATGACAGTATGAAAAAAAGAAATAAAGATAAAGTTCAATAAGTAATAATACTTAATAAATCAAAGGAAAACACATCAAAGACTAATATCAATGCATTTCTAAGAAAATAAGATAAGTACATTTTAAGATACTGCATAATATTTACCCAGCTAGTTGTCAAATTGCTACTTTTGCTTATGTTTCCAATTTTAAACTCTCTGAAAAACATTATTTTTTTATTCACACAAATGTTTCTTTACACTTTGCCTAAATAAAGTCTTTCTTGCTGAGATTGTATAAACTCAGAATAATAATAAGAATAAGAACAGCAAATTTAATGACTATGATCCTATATTTCTTTCTGATTGAGGTGTCCTTTGTTTACATGTGAATATTTTCCCTTTACATTTTTTTTTTTTTTAATGTTTGTATTTCAAACCAGTGCTTTTTTTCTTTGCAGTATAAAAAAGTAAAACCTTATGTCACAGAAACATTACATTTTTTAACTAATTAACATACTGTATATATGCTCATTTATTTATGATACATTTTATTAATTCTGTCCATCCAAGAAACTACATCGGGGTCCGTTGACTCACCAAATAAAATAGTATAAAATATAAGTGAGTCATAAATGTATTTCTTTTAACTTTTTTAAAACAACAACAACACTTTGAACTTGTTTTGGGCCCCATTCATGTCTATATGTCTATATTCTAGTCATAGTTGTCATCACAAAACTCTCTTTTGTGTCTGTTCCTGCTTACTATCGTGACAAAAACCACTGCAGAGATCATCCCCAGCAACATTAGGCCCATCAGAGAAGCATACACAAAATATAAAGTGTCCAGCTGAGGGGTCATGTTTGTTAAATGAACTCTGCGACTGAAACACCAGCCTCTGGGAATGTCATTTAACTCCCAAACCCTGCACCGATATGAGCCGCCGTCCTGGATCGAAAGCTCCGATATGGTAATGTGATTGGGGTCGGATGCATTCAGCCGCTTCTTCATGTCCTCTTTCACAAAATGACCTTTTCTGTCGACTAGCAGATATTCTGAGCTTTGATTGTACTCCCTGTACCACTGTACTCTGGGAAAGTGTGACAGATTGAAAACACACATCAAATCGGCACTGTCACCCAAAGCAAATGTGATATTGATGGGATCGAGAATGGAACAAACAAAAATGTTGAGTTGATTAAATTTCTCTAATTGTGAAAAACAGCTGTATTGTCCAGTGTGGTACGGCAAGAGGTGAGGAATGACCAAAGAGTAGTTACTAGTCTTTGTCGCATTCAACATTTCATGAAATTCTTCTGTTGATCGACTGGGAGTTAGCCAATATATGTCCTCTGATGGGGAACCTTTAACTCCACAGGGCAAAGCGTAACTCTCTCCTGAGACGAGGAAAATGTCCTGACTGTCAATGTATAGTTCAATCTTCTTGTAGTTTTGGCATTGATTGTCACTCCAAACCAAACAACTGAAAAAACCATAGTCCATACTTGAAGTTTTTGATAAATGAATTAAAGAGCCTGCGTTCAGGACTTTCATTCTGCTCCTAAGTGCATCTGGAATGATCTCCAGAGATACGCTGGTATCCAGAATCATTTCACTTGCCGATCTGAGATCATCTGTTTTTAAATTCTGAAACACCTGAAGAGTTTCTCCACGACTGGAATTTAACTTCTGACAGGAGATGTGCGCAGTTTCACCATGATGATAATACATGTTCTCTTTTTCCTCCATCTGAGCACAAACTATCACGTAAAAGCGTCTCTTCTCCATAAGCAGCCCATTCTTCTTGCATTCAGAGAAATACTCTTGATTTTCTGAAATATTAAGTAGGAAATATGCAGTGCTAGAATCTCTGCCGATGTAATTGCTCACAACCCGAGACTTGTCCGGATTTAACCGATACACAATGACGTCTACGTGTTTAAACATGCATGGTATCTGAAGCACAGCCGCACCCTTAGTTCCGAATGCATAGAGAGGTTCTTGTTCGAGAAACAGGCTTATGTTTATTCGGAGCATCAATAAAAAGAAAACCGTCACGACCGGCGCCATCTTCTCTCTGTATGAGTTACAATTTTTGAGAGCCTTATCATTAAAGTAAGGATTGCACAACATATCCTCTCAAAATATTCCGGAAATCAAAAAAAAAAAAAAAGATTTAAGCTGCTCAAGCTGACAAGTGCTCCTAAGAACAAAAGTTCTTTATTGGTATCTATGCTTCCATGAACAGCATTTAACTTCCATGCATTCTTAAAAATAAAGGTTCTTTATTGGCATTGGCTCCATGAACAACCTTTACCATCCATGGAACCTTTCCATTCCACAAAAGTTTTTTTTAATAGTGGAAAAGGTTCTTCAGCTTGTTCAAATATTCTTTACAGTAAGAAGAAACGGTTGTTTTAAGAACTGTTCACACTAAAGCTTCTTAACCCAATATGTAAACCTCCTTTTGGAGTGCAAAATGTTTTTTTTGTTTTTTTTGCAGCAATGCTATAGAAGAATCATTTTGGGTTCTCCAAAGACCCTTTCAGTGAACTTTCTTAAAAGAAACATTTTTGCTTAATCTAAAGCACATTTTTCTACTATAAAGAACCTTTTGTGAAATGGAAAGGTTCCATTGATGTTAACGGTTCTTCATGGAACCATCAATGCAGATAAAAAATAACTTTATTTTTCCATTGCACAAAATTGTTCTTTTTAGAGAGTTAAAAAGGTTAGTTCTTTAGATTATTAAAATCTTCTTCACACTAAGAAAAGAAGGTTATTTTAAGAATTGTTCACTGAAACGTTCTTTGGGGAATCAAAAATGGTTCTTCTATGGCATCGCTGTGAAAAACCCCTTTTGGAACCTTTATTTGTAAGAGTGGCGTGCAAAAACCAGCCTTGACCATTTTAGATTGATTTAACCAGTTACTCATAAACTACTTGATATTGCACAACACTCTCTTTTTTATCCTACTGTTCATCAGAAAATGAATCATGATAGCATGATATCTCACATCTTGCGTTTTATAAAGTAAAACACTTCTGAGAATTATCAAGACAAATGGAAAGGCCCTTCTTCCAAAACATCCTTTCTGTCCTTAATTAGTGTATAGGCAAGTATCACTATACTGTTGCTCATTGTGAAAAATCCCACTGACTTATATTGAAGAAGTCCACCAAATGCCCAAGCAGCCACCCAGGGCCCAAATTTAGCCACCCGAACCCATTCACTGAGGACTTCGAAGCATCAGGTGAATTCAAGCCACGCTAAGATGCTTTATCTGGAGGAAAGAGAAATCAACAATGGCATCGCTTTAATACGCAGACTGTTTCGCCTCAGTGGAGCTTTCATTTTGGGTTTTAAACAGGTTACTTTGACTGGTTCCCCATATCTGGAGCCCATAACATCAAATCACTTTGTTTTCCAAATAGGCATAAGTCCCGTCCGGTCCGGCACCATTATTATTAACATCCACCTAATGTACCCTAACTTCACGACGGTCACCACCACAACTAAGAGTGCGTGCATGAAGAACACTTCCACCCACAGGTTAGAAAAAATAAATGGAGGCGATAGGTGAAATTTTCTCATGAGAAAAAGGCTCCAGTAATCTCATCTCATCCGTTTCTCCTCTAGAGAAGATCAAATGATCTGAACTGCTCTCCACATTCATTTTATAGCTCTATAGTCTTACTGACATACTACTGACTCCCAAGACAGTTAGGAGAAATCTGATACTTAAATAAGACATCAGTGAGATCTCTATTAAATCATCTGAGCTATAAAAATATTGTCTCGGAAGAAAATATGAGCTGCACACTTAGGGTTGTGCATCATCAAATGCAGCAACATCAGAGTCATGTTATTTTCACATCACCGAAAAAAAAAAATCTGGATTTCCTTTGAAGCAATTTTCACCCAGAAATTTATATTACAAAGAAATGGCAATTCAAATTTTGATGCAGAAAGACTGAATCCGTATTTTCTTGTAAAACGTATTGCAATCTGAAAAAAAAAGAAAAATCTTTCTGAACTTTGCAGATTTCGATCTTGAAGATATAGTGTTTTTGCAAAACTGCTGGGAAAAACTGTAATCTTGATGTGATTCAAAGGTTAAATGAATGTCACAGATCGCGTTTTTAACATTTTTTAAAAGCCACGACCAGCAAAAGATGATTTGGAATTATTGATTTTTTGCCTAGTGGACTATAATGTACATCTAGAACACCAAAACAAGCTGAATATCCCTCTGAATAAGTGTTATTTTAGTATTATATACTCTTGTAGTTTTTATTATATGCACTAAAGACTGCAGTCGCTGTGATGCCAAACCAATGCGAGTTCACCATCTTAATGATTAATGTCTAAATGAATGAATAAATAACAAAATAATTTTTCTCATAAAATTCAATCATCTACTCACCCTCGTGTCCTTCCAAACCCCTGTATCCATTTCTTTCTTCTTTGAAACATAAAGTGATACATTTGGAAGAATTTTACACTGCTGTTCTCCTCTATACAATGGTCCTGTCAAGGACAAAAAAAACATATTAAATGGACAAAAAGCACCATGAAAGAAACATAAGTCTATTATGTATATGACTTTGATAACCTTCCATGAGGAACAAAATTCAATTTAAGTTATTCCCTCTCAGTCTTTCCACTGAATCTCATTCACATCTCTGCATATTCAAACATCAACAGAAAATCATCTTCAAATGTTCTCTTGCTGTGTCGCAAAGAAGAAGTCATAGAGGTTTGAAATGACATCCAAATACAAAGTCTATTGCTCTATTGGTCTTGTTGGTTAAATCTGTTGAATATGAAACGATATACTGAAATATTCAACATCAACAATATATAAGATTTATATATATATATACACACACACACACATATGGCATGCTTTATCTATAAAACAAGGGAAATAATTCTTAATTCGGAGACAATATATTTGTCGGCCTTGTAATTTCACGGGCTCCGTGAATTGCAAATCATTTGTTGAAAAACTCATATCAGTTTCCAATATTCTAAACAAAAATAAACTCATCATCAAAATAAACTCCAAAAATCTACACCTAACAATTCTGTTTTGTTTTTCTCCCCGCAATGGAATTAAAAATAAAGGTAATTGCGACTTTTCATCTCACAATTCTGACTTTACTTCTCACAACTGCGAGAAAAATTCTGAATTCTGAGATAAAGCCAAAATTACCAAAAGTAAAACTTAAGTGGAAAAAACCAAGTGGGAAAAAATACTTTGGGCACATTTAACTTTCACTTATGTGTGTATTTTGTCAAACATAGTCGTAGCCTGAGCTATTTGACCCTTTGAGCTCTCTAGACAACATTTTAAATTCTTATTTTAATAATTAATTAATTAATTAAACACTGCCAATGTGAAATTATCTTCTTTAAAAATGATCTAAATTTAATCAGACTGTTTTTTTCTCTTTGTGGCAGCTTGGCTATGAAGACATTTGTGAGTGTCCGTCCACCCAGTGACCAGCAGACGGCAGTCTATCTGTTAGCTGTACAGTTTATTATCAAAAATGCAATATATATTTTAATATATTTCACTGCTGAAGGCAGTGTAAAAAAAATTGCCATGATTTTTGTGCTCTGACTATCATTAATATTAATGTTTTCATGTATGCTGATCAGATTCTTTTGTTTCCCAAAAAGTTATTTTAATATTCTATTCTATTCTACTCTATTCTAAACACAGAATAGATTTAGAGAGAGGGGGGAAGGCCTCACACCTTTATATAACAACAATCTAATTGTTCCCAGAAGGTCAAACTCTACTCTCCAATTTTAAAATGTATCCACGCTTAATAATCTCAACATAATCAGCTCATATTTGCCGGGATTAACCAGCAACCCACTTAGTCTAATTCTGCCTGAGGTCTCTGTTTATCCATTAACTTAATTATTTTTGAAAGCGTCACTCTAAAGAGGCACGACGCTGAATATATAGCACTTTACCTCATACCTCCATCTTCTGCATTGTCTTGAATCTGTATGATGTGATACAGTTTTATGTACAGTGTTGGGTGTTGGTACTTTGATACTGTATATATTAGAGGAGACCGGGGCTAGTTGTCACACAGGAAAAGTTTATCTCTCACTGACTGTAAAGTCTGAACTGAATTGCCAAACGTCTCGCTGAACTATGTTCTCTGGGTTTTTTCATAAAAGTTAGGCTGGGGTAGGTTGTCACAGGAGATTCATACTGTAGCCTATATTGTAATTTTATATAATATTTATATATAGCCTACATACTCTATATTGTAATTTTAGTTTATATGATATTTATAATTTTTTTATTTTATATTAAATTATTTTATTTAAGTTTCTGACGGACAAAATTCTATTTTTGTTACCTTTTTATTTTGTAATTTCATGATTTATTTTATGTCAAAGGTATATCAACTTATTTGTATTTAGGTCAAGGTCAAGTTTATTTATATAGCCCTTTAAAACAACATAAAAGCTGACCAAACATACCAGACAAAAACATCCTCACACAATACAATTGAAATACTAATAAAATAAATCAAAAGAAAACAGAACAAAAATGTATAATGTTAAAACAAAACAAAACATTACCATGCAAAATTAAAGCTAAAATATGATCAAATTAAGCATATGCCTGAGAAAAAAAAAATGTTTTAAGAGAAGATTGAAATGTGGATAGAGTAGGGGATAGTCTAATTCAGCAGTGGGCTGCTGGTTGCCATTTACTTATTTTAGTAGTCAAGTTTGTTTCTGCACTGAAGGTGCCTTTAAATAAATCTTGAGAAGTATATGTAAAAGAGAAAAAAGTGTGACAACTAGCCCCGGTCTTCCCTACCATAGTCCTGAATGATTTCCATATTCATATAGGCCTGTGCTATTTACATACACTGCAATATGGTGATCTAAAACAATACTATAGTATAGTATACCATGGTACGCGTCCAAAAACGTCCTATGTCCTACATCGCAGTGATTATTCAAGAGCTCGCGTTGCGTTCTAGCTCATCGCGTCGCGTACGCGTTCGCGTTCCTCCTGCGCAAATGCTGGTTGTCATGGTTTCCCGCATCACTTGCGCGGCGGCTTTCCTGTAGCCAGCAACGCAACGCAAAAAAGGGATGCCAGCTCTTGAATTCCCTGCCATTTATACACCTGCAAATTAGAGGACGCGGTCGGACACGAGAGGACGCAGACGCAGATGGTGGAACAGTGAGAAATCCGTCGCGTTGCCTCTGACGCGTCTGCGGGTCATTCTTCTCAGCTGACGCGGCGAGACGGGACAGACTGTTTTACGCGCAAGATCGGGCCGAATTTTGCGCACATTTCACCGTCAGGAAATGAGTATAGAAATCCCCGAGGGCTTGACTCTGACGCGTCTGCGGGTCATTCTTCTCAGCTGACGCGGCGAGACGGGACCGACTGTTTTACGCGCAAGATCGGGCCGAATTTTGCGCACATTTCACCGTCAGGAAATGAGTATAGAAATCCCCGAGGGCTTGACCGAGCTTCTGCAGAGCTTTACCGTGGAGGTCCTCAGGAACCAGCCGGGGGACCTGCTGGAGTTCGCGCTGCAGTACTTCACGCGTCTCAAGGAGAACGAGAGCCGCGGCGGCGCGTTCGGCAATGCGCTCAATTCAGCCGCGCGAGCGGGGAAAGCCGTCAACTTCATCGAGGAGGCCATGCAGATCGACTCCGAAAACGGAGAGGAAGAGGAGGATGATGAAGAATTCGTAGGTAATTCATGCGTGCGTGCGTGCGCTCTTCCTGCATTCATTGCGAGACTAGGACGCTGCGTCCATCGCATCAGCTAGATCCCCAGTTATAGATACACAATAGCGTATGCTTTAATGCTCAAAACACTGCTCTTTTGTTCACTGGTAATGCATGATCACACATCTCATTTTTTGCGGAACAAAAGACCAGGCTTAATTGGCTTTAAATGATATTTTTGTTATTGCACTTCCCGTTTTTATCATCTAAGCGTTCTAATTTGATTGCTTTTTTTGATGGACGATCTGGTTCATATTCATCAAAATGATGCTAGGCCCTGTGTCATTCATTGCGAGACTAGGACGCTGCGTCCATCGCATCAGCTAGATCCCCAGTTATAGATACACAATAGCGTATGCTTTAATGCTCAAAACACTGCTCTTTTGTTCACTGGTAATGCATGATCACACATCTCATTTTTTTGCGGAACAAAAGACCAGGCTTAATTGGCTTTAAATGATATTTTTGTTATTGCACTTCCCGTTTTTATCATCTAAGCGTTCTAATTTGATTGCTTTTTTTTATGGACGATCTGGTTCATATTCATCAAAATGATGCTAGGCCCTGTGTGCATTAGGACAAAATATTGGCACGAGGCCTTTTCCTGGATTGTTTTGCGCATGCAAATGCTTTGTGTTTCTATGACCATGTGATGTGTGTCAATCAGAGGGAGTATCAATTAAGATTAGATTTTGGTCAGGCTGTGTGATAACTGATCCATCTAGGCCATTACTGTGGCATATTGAATTAAATATGTTATAGGCATTAATATTCAGTTTTACTGTAATGCACTATATGAGTAATTTTTCTTTCTTTCCTTTCAGCTCCAGTTTTCAACAGATTTGTCCGGAGAGCTTCTGGTGAGTTTGTCCATTTCCGGCAATGCGGTTCAAATGCATGTACCAGTCAGTTTCAGTTACATGATTATGAACTCCTGTTTTAGGTGCATCATTATCGGGTTCCTGAAAATAAAAAATAAAACTTAAAATGTAGTAAATTCAATCTAGTCAAATCGACATGTCAAGTGCATTCATCACATAAATAACATCTGCATAAGAGCTTTCTATGAAGATTTATATTATTGCTTATATCATAGTAATTTACTGTTGAACCTGATTTGGTGACCAAAGAGAATTAAAGGAATAGTTCACCTAAAATATAAAATTGCTGAAAATGTGCTCACCATGAGGCCATCCAAGATTAGGATGAGTTTGTTTCTTCAGCAGATTTGGAGAAATGTAGCATTGCATCAGTGTCTCAGCAATGGATCCTCTGCAGTGAATGGGTGCCGTCAGAATGAGAGTCCAAACAGCTGATAAAAACACAATAATCCACAAGTAATCCACAGCACTCCAGTCCATCAGTTAATGCCTAGTGAAGCGAAAAGCTGCGTGTTTGTAAGAAACAAATCCATCATTTCCAAATGCAAGTCCTATATCCATAATATTGCTTTCTGCAATGAAACATTTGTCTCATCTGAATCAGGAGAGAAATCTGCACAGATCAAGCACCGTTTACAAGCAAAAACAGTCCAAAACAGCTCTAAACAAATATGTGGGTGGATTTTGATGTGAGAGACAACAGGAGATGAAGGACTTTTTCACTGGAGGAAGCATTATTTTGGCCAGAAGCAATTGTTTAAAGTTTTGAATGATTATGATGAATTTGTTTCTTACAAACACG